AATGTCGTTTTGTGGTAGAGCTGCGGTATTAGCACCGACCTCGTGACGTACAGCCGTTGTTGTGGCTTGAGCGGTGCTCTGGTTAATTTATCGATTTTGGCCTGCAGTTCAAACTGCGGCTTAAACTTGGATCTACCCTCTGGAGAAAATTGGACCCCTAGATAAGTCCATCGGTCAGTGCTTCTCAGCGATGGTATTTGCTGGTTTCCAAGCATAAATTTTTGCTCTACAATAAGTGATTTTTTCTCTTTCGGCTGCCCTTTTACACTCATCGAAAGACATTTGGCAGCGTTAAGTGTAAGGCCGTAAACGGACATACAGGTTGAGGAGGTGTTTTGGCATTGGTTTTAACATTGCCAGTGTGGCAGCCAACTTCTTTAGGTAGATTTTTCAGCAATCTATCAATTACCATGTTGAACAAAATCGGGGAGAGGGGATCTCCCTGCTCCACTCCCCTTGTAGAATTAATAAGGGTAGGTATGCTACCACGCGTGCTAAGTTGTGTGGACGAGGTTCTATAAAATAGATCGATATAATGTATAAAGCCCTCTGGAGCACCATATGATGTCAGGGTGTCTATTAATGCGCGATGGGAAACCGAGTTAAATGCTTTATATACATCCAAAATAGTAATATAGCAAGAGGAGTAATAATCCCGTTGACTGCGTAGAAGTAAATCGATTATCGTCGTATTTTCAGCGCATCCGTCCAACGGTTGGAACCCTCTTTGACGAGGATCAAGGTCGAGCGATGTCATTAATCTCTTTGCCAATATGCCGTGTAGATGTCGAATGATAACTGATGGAATCGTAATAGGTCTAAAATCACCTGGCAGCTCAGAGTCAATCTTTTTAGGTATGAATATCGTTTTGGAGCCATCCTAGAGGGATGGCTCTGAGCTGCCGTGCAGTGCTCCCATCGGGGCCTGGCGATGTTGTAAGTTTCAGGCGTGCATTTCTTATTTCGTCGCAAGTTACTGGCTTCCAAACGCTGTTTAAGTTTTCTTTTAGATCCTCGATACCGGGAGAGGAATCATCTTTCTGCTCCATAAGTGCCCTCCAGGAAGGTACCATTATATCAGCTGAGGACTCAATCGATCTGTTAAGACCGTCTAATATGGATTTAACACACCTATTTCGGTGTCGGTTCCAGTTGCGTTGGTTGGCAACATACTCTTTTCGCCTCTTTTTCCTGTTATTAAACGCTGGTGCCGTCAGGCGCGGCTCCAAAACAGTCGTCGTTCTGGGTTCACTCGGAAATATATCGAGTAGATATGACGATAGTCTTTCTAGTGTGACGGATTTTCCCATCGAGATGCCTTTGTCCACAGTGTTTTGAAGTCGCGACCCGTTGTACGATGTGTTGTCTGAAACTGGCTGAGATCGGATGTAATCTAAGAATAGATCGGTGGAATTAGATACTGGGCTACTGACATGATCAGTATTTTGTTTTTCCACGTCGGTACTGCCAGAACAGGAAGGTGTTTGGGACTCATCAACAGCCCCAGATGCAGCTAAGGAAGATGGCGGATTTGAGCGGATTTCGTTCAATATGGTGCGCACGTATTCCTTATAAATCTCTTTGCGTCGAACCCCTTTTACAGCCTCTAACGTCCCATGCGAAAAAAGAACATGGAGCTCCTGGTTTATGAATCTCGGGGTTTTCTGCCCGGTAGCTCTGCCCCTTTTCGGGCTAATAACAAAAGCTCTTCTTCTGACCAACGCATTTTAACGTCTACCTGGAGGGCCATTTGGTCATATTCGTTAGGGTGAACTCTTTTAGTATAGACACCCAGTCCGGATTTTATACTGGAAGTTCTACCACAAATAGGACAGGTGTGGGTAAGCGAAGAAGGGGGTGGGAGTTGTGTTGGAGCGCTGGCTCAGTGGGCTCAGCGCGATTCATCCGAGGCTTTTTATTTCCAGCTGCGCCAACAGCGAAAGGTGCCTTTGTCCGACACTAAGTACCCCAGAAATCGTACCTCTGGTTGGGCGAATACGCACTTCCCTGGATTTATAATTATTTCGTAATCTTGCAATCTCTGGAATACGGTTTTCAAATTTTCCCAATGTTCCTTCTTCGATGCTGACGCCACGATTATATCGTCGATATACGCGTACGCGAAATCTACACCGCGCAGCACTGCGTCCATGAACCGCTGGAACGTCTGTGCCGCGTTTCGTAACCCGAACGGCATGGACGGAACTTTTTATTTCCAGCTGCGCCAACAGCGAAAGTTCGAGAGGGGTGGCAACCCCTAGGACCTATATAGACGTCCTACATTAACCAGGCTGGCAGAGTGGTGTCTTCCACTCCGCAGGCCTGTTTCCAGCGGGAACCACGAGGAGGAGGAGGATCGGCACTTTCACGACTTCTTGGGAATCAGTGGGGCAGAGGGTGCATGAGCCTTTCCACGACGCCCCGCACGGTCATAGAAAATCTTGCGTAACCGCACCGGTAGAACCGGAATCAGATCATGCATCTTACGTCCACCTTTCCGCGTCGCCCTACAAGCGCAGAGCTTGCATGATCGCACCTAAGAGTTACTCCTGCCTCATAGTTACTCCCGCCGTTTACTCGCACTTTTTTGAATTTCTTCACATTGACATTCAGAGCACTAGGCAAAAATCACATTGCGTCAAAACCCGTGGGAGCCATCGCAATGCTTTGTTTTAGACAGTCGGATTCTCCTAGTCCGTGGCAGTTCTGAACTGAGCATTGAATGGCGACCGAAGAGAACGACCATGACGAGTATGCCACCATGGAAGCCTCGCAGCAAGGAAAATCCGCGAGAGGCCAAGGCACGGGACCGAGCTCGGATTCTGAGTACAATCTATAACAAACCCCGGCGAGCTTATATAACGGGTGATTAGTATATTGTTTGACGCCTAGGAAGGCCCTACACTCATTCTCAAACTCGCGAACCCTTACACCACCCCAACCATCACCCGATCTAATCGTTAATAGAGACTTAATAAAGACCCGATTTTTGAATTTCTACTTATATGGCCGGCCGCCTAACCTACCTCAATTACTTGATTATGCCTGCATTATGACTGCATATTTATCTATACTTTAGATAGTCTGCTATAGTTATCAATAAACGTAATAGAATATCTCTCTCTCTTGTACACACTAATTGAACTGGGACCATTGATATCCGTATGGACTGTTTCCAGAATGTCTTGCCTTTGTTCTATTGTTTTTAAATGGCAGATTATGCATCTTATTTTCTATACAAATTTTGCATTTTATCACTTTAGTATCTAACTCTTTTGGTATACCCTCCACGAGTTTATTTTCGCATAATGTGTTCAAGTAACTGAAGTTCATATGGCCTAATATTCGACGCCACCTCTCTACTCTGCTTAGCTTTCTTTCGGTTCTTGTTGGTAGGTTAGCATGTATATCTCCATATGTTCTTATAACGTGACTCATCTTCGATAAATTTCCTTCTTTAAACGCTACAGCTATAATTTCACTATATTTATTATATATTTTTGTACCATTATTTACTGACACAATTTTGTTATTATCCAGTATTTTAGTATAGCTTATTAGATTTGGATTTATACTTTGTACATAGAACACATTAATAATATGGAGTCCTTATCATAAGCTATAATTTCACTATATTTATTATATATTTTTGTACCATTATTTACTGACACAATTTTGTTATTATCCAGTATTTTAGTATAGCTTATTAAATTTGTATTTATACTTTGTACATAGAACACATTAATAATATGGAGTCCTTATCATAAACTTTAAATATCGTCTTTATATTTCCTATCCTTTTTTGCGTTGACTACACGTCCATCACCCATCTTTACATTTACAGGTCATCTTAATGTGACGCTCTTATAAAAATGTTGTAATATGGTTCGTGTACCCACTATCAAGCAACCATGTAACATTATCTTTAAATGAAACGTTTTTATTATCTGAACTCTCATTTTCCACTTCCATATTAAGACAGTTGCTCTCTCGGATCTCACCTCCTTCATTGTTCATGTACCTGTTTCGTGTTCCCTGGTTGTTTGATCCAGAACTTTGTTGATGTCTACGCTTCTTCCTAAGGTCACTTGTCCTCTTCTCTGGAAATCCCTGTTACCACTTGATTGTCCTTGATAACATTCACTGCGCAAGTATCCTTTCTTGCCACAGTTAAAGCAGATTACATCTTGCTTATTTTTTGAGTACGTTGTCTTTTCTGCCACAAATACATTTGCCTCGATTGGTGTTTCTTCAAATTTTTCAGCTTCTGTTTTGTCCTCCATTGCTTTTAACTTAAGTTTACTTTTTAAATATTCATCTGCCCTCTCTCGTCCTACAAGCACATCTATTATATCACCGATATTTTTTTTTTTTCTTTTTTTAAATACTAAATTACATATACAACTAGCTTCATTTGATGCATTAAGCATCAGCAAATTTGATGAATTAAAGACATGGCTCGCATGCGGTGAACGCTCCGTAGCGTTGCTGCTAACATTATATGTGATGTTTCTTCCTTAATTTAATTCCACAGATCGGTTTGTTTATTCCTTTTCAGTCTTCTGTGTTGTAGTATATGATTTAGATCCTTGATGTGTTCGTTGGGATAATTTGATATTCGTTTCTTGTGTGCTGTGGCGAATTTTCCTATCTGTTCTTTGATATTATGTATACCCAAGTCTTTATGTAGAGAATCTGAGGTGATATACCATGGGGCAGCAGCGATAGTTCTCAGTGCTATGTTCTGGAATCTTTGGATGATATTTATATTGCTTCTCTTGGCACATCCCCAGAGATGTATCCCATATGTCCAAATTGGAATAATGGCGACCTTGTACAAAAATAATTTATTGTATAGTATAAGTTTCGATTTTCGTCCCAGGATCCAATACATGGTTTTCAATTTGTGGTTCAGTTGCTTTCTTTTCTTTTTTATGTGGTCTTTCCATGTGAGTCTTTTATCTATGTGCAGACCAAGGTATCTGACACAGTCCTTTGTTTCAAGGTTTTCGCTGTTCAGCTGTCTGCAAGAATCGTGACGCCTCCGCAGGGTTTTCATGGGAAGCCAAGAACGTAGTGTCATTCGCGAATGTGGCCACGAGTACATTATCGTCGATAGGAAGGTCTGCTGTGTAAATTTGGTATAATGTGGGACCTAAGACACTGCCTTGAGAAACACCCACGAGTATAAGGTAGATCTTCGAGTATTTGCCGTTTTGATTAACCTGGTAAAACCTGTCAGTTAAGTAGGATTTTAGCAAGTTATAATAGTTATATGGAAGATTTTGCTTAATTTTATATAACAAGCCCATGTGCCACACTTTATCAAAAGCTTCATTAATGTCAATAAATGCAGCAAAGTATACCATGCGTTTCTCAAGGCATACTTCTATCACATTAACTGTACTATGTACTTGTTCAATGGTAGAGTGTTGCTTATGAAAACCGAAATGTTGTTGTGGGACTATACGTTTCTCCCTTAATATTCGTATTAGTCTGTTTAAGAGTAATCTTTCAAATAGTTTTGACAAGATTGCTAACACTGAGATAGGCCTATAGGTCACTTCTGTTGGTAGTTTGTCAGGCTTTTGAATGAGAATAGTCGCAAATTTCCATTGGATGGGACGATACTGGACTCTCAGTGTTCCCACGCGTCGCGAATGTATAGAAATTTTTTCTTACTTAAGAACGCGTGGGGTGCTCTAGACGTTTTACGGTCTAGAGCTGTTATTGCTGTTTGGTAGCCCGAATGTTAATCTGTTTCTTCCTTACTCCTTTCCCCGGAGTCGCGTGTGTATGTATGAGGAGGTAAACGTTGTTGTGCGCGATTGACAATTTCGTTTCTCCTTGGGACATTTTGTCCGTGTTTGCTGCATGGGTACACTCCCTCCGATGACCTATCCGAAGGTCTGGTCCACCGGGAAGAGCGAGGTCGATTTGGCCCACACACAGTGCCGACAATGTTGGTCCGGCGCTTAGCAGCACGTCCACCGGTGCTGGTGTATGGAAATTCGGGTCGGCCAACTCGATATTGCGGGGTATCGCGAGGTTCACGCGATCGATCGGTTCATCCGGCAGGAATGTAGAGATGTTAGGAATTATGAAGAAACTCAACGTTCGCTCGTACTGGTTTCTCCGTGATCGCATTGTCACCGTGGTGGAGGATTTCGCGACAGTGGAAACCCCGCTTAGTGTTCCAATGGGAATGTTGCATTTCCTACGCGGGAGCTTCAGTTTCGTCGCGAGATCTTGAGAGATGAAATTTTGAGTTGAGCATGTATCTAGAAGCACGCGACAATGTACTGGGTGGTTGGTTTTGTCGATCGCGTCGACTTGCGCGGTGATTAGAAGCTCGTGACTGGCGATGTCTACGACGAACGTTCTGTTATGTTTCATCCCTGTCGATCTTTGACTTGGTCAATCAGTTGTCGACTCCTGTTCCGGTGCTTCTTGCCGTGCTCCTAATGGTGTGTCATGCTCCTGTCTCTGTATGCCCGGAGTCTGATGAAGGAGGATATGGTGCCTTTTTTGGCATATCCGACAGCATCCAGAGCGGCATGTGGGTGGAGTGTATCCAGTTCGGAGTCAATGTGTGCACAAGTTAGCTCGTCGTACTGTCCTGATGCGTTCGTGCGCTGATTGCGCTCGGAATTGATAGCAATTTTGGACGTCCTGACACTTCTTGCATACCTGACATTGTGGCATATTCGCTGTCACGAACGCGCGTGCTAGCCTTGGTTCTCGAACCGGTTTTCTCAATTTTTCCACTCCCGGCGATGATGGGTATGACACAGTTGGAGCGTAACTAGCGCGTTTTTCTAGGAACTCGAGGAGTTCCGTGTGAAATGGTATCGTCTTTTTGTCTTTTAAGGTAGAGGGCAGAAGCTGGTGAGTGTTGTGGTGTAAGGTGTCCGCCAGAAACCACGATGGAACTAATGTTCCCTATAGCTGCGCAGCCGAGCTACGCGGTGCGGGAACTTCGATGAAGTTGTAGGGCCCAAACCGGCAAGTCCACTCGCCTCGCCTCCTCGTCGGTGCCCTCGGGATCCAGTGGGTGGTGTCCCATGCGTTCGCGCATGCCACTGGATGCGAAAGAGGGAGTGGCAACGGGCCATGGAGACCTTCGGTTGGATCTCATATCCATGCCAGACCTGAAGTGGCCCAAGAGTAATACGCCAAATCGGGTATCTCCCCGGGCGTACTCCTTAAGCCTACTAGGGTCACGTGTGGGTTGACTTCCTCCGCTGGTTGGACCTTGCTTCTTTCATTGGTATGCTGTCGATATTAAATTCGCTTCCAACACCTGCCGTTATATCCAAAAAGGATTAGGTCACGGCATAGCTGCGCAAAGGCGCCGTAAGCTAAAGAAACATTAGTTGTCTTTTAAGGTAAGCTCCCACTGCCACGCAGTTTCTGCGCTTACCTTTGATAGAATGATCGCTACTAACATGCTATTCCATGTCCCGACATCTTCACCCAGATTCTTCAAAGCTCGTATGTGCTGGTTGCATGTATCGATGAGGTAATGCTTCCGAGCAATCCCTTGTGACCTTCGGCATCCACTGTAACGCGTCCCAATGCCCCAGAATGGTTCAGCGCGTACAATGAAACTTTCCTTTTAATACTTCAATCGCGTCAGGGTAATTCGCGTCGGTGGTAGTCAGCGATTCTAGGCAGGCTGCGATTTTTCCGGATAGTGTCGATCGCAAATATTGCAGCTTTTGCACCGACGTTAGATCACTGTTTCGGTCTATCATAGAACAGAAGAGGTCGAAGAACGATGACCATTTTTCGATCGTGCCATCGAACATGGGCAGACGCATCTCCGGCAATTTGATGTCCATTGGTGCCAACACGGTGGACGCGCGCGGCGTGGGGTTCGTCGGTGGAATCTTCTCAATAACCCGGTTTGCTCTTGATACTGCGGCGTGATAATTGCCTCGTAACTCGTCGCATGCTACTTCGGATTTGTCGAAGGCTTCAATCTCATATTGGATAGCGTCAAATCGTGCCCACGTGTCTAACAGCTCCTTAAGATAGCTGTTGACGAGGTGGATATTACTTTCCCCGGACGCTTCATAGTTGTCAAGGAATTTGTTCATCCATGAAACCCGACCGATTACATAACCGCGTTGGCGTCGCAAAGAACTGAGCGAGATCCTCCACCAGGGTGACAATACGATCACGGAGAAACCAGTACGAGCGAACGTTGAGTTTCTTGATAATTCCTAACATCTCTACATTCCTGCCGGATGAACCGATCGATCGCGTGAACCTCGCGATACCCTGCAATATCGAGTTGGCCGACCCGAATTTCCATACACCAGCACCGGTGGACATGCTGCTAAGCGCCGGACCAACATTGTCGGCACTGTGTGTGGGTCAAATCAACCTCGCTCTTCCCGGTGGACCAGACCTTCGGATGGGTCATCGGGGGGAGTGTACCCATGCAGCAAACACGGACAAAATGTCCCAAGGAGAAACGAAATTGTCAATCGCGCACAACAACGTTTACCTCCTCATACATACACACGCGACTCCGGGGAAAGGAGTAAGGAAGAAACAGATTAACATTCGGGCTACCAAACAACAATAACAGCTCTAGACCGTAAAACGTCTAGAGCACTTCTTCTTGGAGAAGAAGCTCAGCGGCTCTCAGCCGTCTTCCGTTTGTTGTTGCAGCACTGCGCCTAAGGAGAAGTCCGATGCGTCGCAGGTAAGCGGCAGGGGTGCGCCCGGTCGAGGGTGCGCCAAAAGGGTTGCTTCAGCCAACGTCCGCTTCGATTCACGGAATGCCGTCGTCGCCTCTGGCGTCCATTGTATTGGCGTGCGGCCCTTCAAATTGTCCCTCAATAGGTTGTTTAGCGGCGCCTGCACCTGCACCCCCCTGGGTATGAAACGCCTGTAAAAGTTCAGCATGCCCAAGAACTGCCTGAGCTGTTTCGCCGTCGTGGGTTGCGGGTAGCTTACAATGGCGAGCACTTTGTCGTCTAACGGCTGGGTGCCTTTGTCCGACACTAAGTACCCCAGAAATCGTACCTCTGGTTGGGCAAATACGCACTTCCCTGGATTTATAATTATTTCGTAATCTTGCAATCTTTGGAATACGGTTTTCAAATTTTCCCAATGTTCCTTCTTCGATGCTGACGCCACGATTATATCGTCGATATACGCGTACGCGAAATCTACACCGCGCAGCACTGCGTCCATGAACCGCTGGAACGTCTGTGCCGCGTTTCGTAACCCGAACGGCATGGACGGAAACTGAAAGAGTCCGAACGGCGTCGTGATCGCGGTTTTGCAGACGTCCTCGGGTGCCACTGGTATCTGGTTATATGCGTGCACTAGGTCGATCGTCGAAAACACCTTTCTCCCAGATAGTGTCTGCGCGAAATCCTCTATGTGCCTGGTCGGGTACCTATCCGGCAAGGTCCGTGCGTTTAGGGCACGAGAATCGCCGCACGGTCTCCACTCGCCCTGATCCCTTTTTGCACTATGTGCAGCTGCGAGGCCCAGCTGCTCTCCGACGGCCTCGCCATCCCTAGGCGCAACATGGCCTCTATCTCCTTCTTGGCTACTTTGTGGCAGCCCGGTGCTAATCGCCGTGGTCTACAGGTGACCGGTTGTCCTGGCGTGGTCCTGAAGTAATGGACTGTAGAATGCCTGACCGGTGTAGGTACTCCCCTCGGCTTCGTGATCTCGGGGAACCCTCGTAGCAACTCGAGGTATATTGACCCCTTGGTCACCGTCCTTACACTTGAGATCGCTCGCGTTGCCCTATCCGCCGGCGCCCCGTATACCGATGACGACGTCACTCCGTCTAATAAACGGCGATTCTTCACGTCCACTAGCAAGCCGTAATAACCCAAAAAGTCCACCCCGATTATTGGCTTCGAAACATCCGCCACAACAAAACGCCACGAAAACGTGCGCCGTAACCCTAAATTCAGGGTTAGCGTGACCGCCCTATATGTTGCGATTTTCGACCCATTCGCCGCGAACAGCTCATATCGCGACACACGGCGCGGTCCTCGTGCCAATGATCGCGGGTAGTCGCAGAGATCGGCCCCCGTGTCTACTAAAAAACGTGTCTTGTTCACTTTGTCTGTGATAAAAAGAAATTTAATCAACCCCGGGTTCAGTTTGCGCAACATTTGTTGTTGTTAGCATTCTTCAGCGATTTCTGGAGGGATTTTTCGCGAAAGCGTATCTGATTTGTCAGACGATCAAGTTTTGAGCATAGATTGAGAAAGCCTCATTCGTGTAGCTCGGAATTTGAGTTGGGAGTGTTGTAGTTTAGCTTTAACTTTATATTTTAATTATACTTTATATTCCCATTTTATTATAGTGTTACTATGTTTGATGTAATAGGTTAACTTATCGTAGTTAGGGTCACTAGTTATCTATAATTTTAAGTATTAATATTGTAAGATGTATAATAATCGAATAGCTAACCAAAAGGTTGAAGCCATTAGAACTCAAGTAGCTGCGGTAGAAGTTGCGGTCCAGATGAAGGCTGCCTCTGCTAAGACTGCCGAATTGGCGAAAGCTGCTGAGAAAAATGCTCAAGAGCAGCGCTCAGTGTTGTCCAACGCTGGCAATGCTCCACCTTTGGTGATTAATAGAAAAAAACGAAAGCCTAGAGTGGTCAAACCTATTTCTCAGAAATTGGTAGAAACGGCCAGTAAACTCGTTGGTGTTATATATTTGTTGGGATTGTTTATATGGCTCGATGAGCTAAAGTACCATTGGCGACTACTACTCCTGCGCTGGGCGTATGCTTGCTCTCGAATGCGGGTTTAAATCTTGAGAATGAGTTAATTAAGAAACTCAATGGGATTAAAACTTTGGTTGGAGTTGTTGTGGATAGGGTTGAAGGCACTCGTTCAATGTTATTGAATGCGTTGTCTTTAGAGCTCGCAAAACAGGAAGAATTTTATAGATCTCTTTCTTATTGCAATGTCCCATCTGGTGAATTAGGTATACCGAATGAAATCAAGAGAACAAGTGTCACCAATACACGGCTCTTATCGAATGCCATTAATGGACTGAATTCATGTAGGGTGGACTACAAGAGGGTTTTAGAACTTCTGAAAAGCCAGAATACTGAGTTCGGTTCAGTCGACATTGATGTTAGTAACTTGATAGAGTGCAAGAATGCATTAGAGAAAGCTAGTGATGTTTGGAATAAAATCATCCTCAAAGGACA